AAAAATACAACACCCAACAAACTATTACTATAAATATTGTTGTACAGAAATTGTGCTTGTTGATGAACTGCTGGGAGACTGGCTTCACCTTGGTGTGCTGGCACAGCGAAACTGGTCTGGGGAGCAGGTGGCTGGGCAGAGCTCATCTGAACCATCACCACAGTCATCCTCGTTGTCGCACACCCACTGAGAGGGGATGCAGCGCCCGTGAGCACAGCTAAATTCAGATTCTAGACAGGGAGGGGAGGGAGGAGGGCAGGCCACACCCTCACACTGCCACACACCATCTGCACAGGAACTTTACAAATAAAGGCAAAGAAATTCCACAAACTTTAATTTTAATGGCCGGCTTTTTCCTCGATTATTTTAGAAACAAAAATATACTTTTATAAACATTTAGATTGGCTGACCAGTTTTGGCAGTGTTGAGTGATGGTGGCTCCAGGTGGAAACATAGAGCCTTCCCACTCACAAGGACACTCAGTGGGAACTATACAGCTGTCTCCTACAAAAGAGACAATACACTGAAATTATACTATTTTTTATAGCTTGTCATAACATACATTTTGTTCAGAGGACAGCAAGAGAAGAATTGTGGTATTACTAAATTTAAAGGCCTTCTTCTTTGGCCAATTAGTGTACAAATGTGACATTTTGTCCAAGGGATAATGTCACAGGAACTACAAAATACAACCACCAAAGTATTCTGTCACACTTTGGAGCACAGGATTAGTATGGTAAATCTGTTTTACCATGCCGGACAGTGCCAGCAGGGCAGAAGCAACCCTCCACACAGGAGAGGGTGTCACACTCGGAGTGTGGACTCTGCTGAACAGTGGGACAAGAGGGAAAGCAAGCTGGACCACAGGGACTGTACACCAGACCATCTTCACACTGAAGAGCTGCAGGGAATATTGGAAAGTGGATTAAAGTCACAAAAGACAGAAAACAAAAGTCACAGAAAGACAGTAACAAAGAAGTTAAGGTGCATGTGTTTAAGATTCAGTGTGTGACAATGTGTTGTATAAGTGACATACGACAGAGATCCTGGGACCTCCAGTGGATGTAGACCCCTCGGCGGTTACACTCCTCAGCATAGGCAGCGACGGCTGTGCAGAGACACTCACAGTCCCCTCCTGAGTCACAGCTAAAACACACACATATACAAACACTAGTAAAATACTAACAACAGTATATATCTCATCTATGGTGTTCATGTGAAAATACAACCCTAAATCAAAAAAAGTTGGGACGGTAAGT